TTTTTTTTTTTTTTGCCCATTTTAATCGTCGCGTCCATTGTTGGTGTCCATGCCACGCCTTGTTGGTTGTAGAGTGCAGCAGGGGCCCATTGTCTCGCCACTGAAGTCCCCTCCTTGCTGAATTAATTTTCGATGTTTAATTCGTTGGAAAACAGGGGAGTAATAAGGCTTCCAAGCTAAGTGGAACGAAATTCTACACGGATTTAAAATCGTCGTCGAAGTTAAAATCCGATGGAATTTCCGATGGAACGGAGGATTGGAATCAAGGTGAAGGGGAGACAAGGGAGAAGTGGTACAGAAGAAGGAGATTTTCGCGATGTTCCTGAAATCTCTTCCTCTCGCATGTCGCGGAATGCGATATCTTTCCTTTCCTCTCTCCAGTGTGGCCACTGGAGAGGCTTCGACCATTAGTCATCGAGCAATGGGTCCTCTGTCCGGCAACTCGTTATCAGAAAGGCGTAAGTCGACGGCCAGTGCGAATTCCACGCTCGTAAATTCAAATCACACGTTTCCGCCACCGCCGCCGCCCCCTCCCCAATCTACACGCTACACGAAAATACAAATCCTCTTCCTCGTCATCTTCGCACGTTTTAATCGTTTTTAATCTTGAACGGGTATCCCTTTCTTCCTTCGTTTCGAAACTCGAAAAGAGCGTGGAAAAAAAAAGAAATGGAGAGCGGTGAAGACGTTGGCAAGATTGGACAAAATGTTGACAAAATTTAAAACAATCGGCGTTCGATTACAGAAACACGAGACACCTACCATCGTTGCATAATCTAGCAACGATGCAGACCATCTGCAAGGCAGCTGTTGGACAGGTGCTCCCTTACTCCTCCAGTCTCTCTCTCTCTCTGTCTCTCTTTCTTATTTTCGTTCCCTCTTTCTATCCAGAGATCCTCCCATGCTCACTTTCTTCTTCTTCTTCTTCTTCTACTTGTTCCTCCTCCTCTTCCTTCTCCTCCTCTTCCATTCCTCCTCCTCCTCGTTTCCCCTTTTTCTTTTACCTGCCTCCTCGTGGCGTGCACACCGTCGATTTTATCCGACGGTAATTTATCGTGATTTCAGCCTGATCGTGGCCGATTAAATATTTCGGAAAAACGATTCCTCGAACCTCTCCCTCGTAAGTTTCACAACCTAGTATAAATATTCTGTACATCGTTTGTAATTGTGATTCAGTAATTTATCGTTTCTCGACGAGAACGAGAAACGAGGAGTATTCTCGTCGAGTACGTTTCATAAACCCGTTTCTTTTTCCCATTTAACTCATTTTTAATTCGGGGCTTCGTCGATAGAGGTTTACCAGGCTGAATCCCCTTTTGTTCGACGGGCAGATTTACAGTTTCGTAGAACGATTTGCGTTCCTGGAACAGCCACGCCTATCTCCATGAATCTCTTTCGAAAGGGGTTGCGGCATTCCATCTCGGATGTATCCTTTATAAAAAAAACGTGGGAGGTGTTGCAAGCGGTATCGCAACTGCTTTTCATCGGCTTTCCAACGTTTACGAGTCAAATTAATCGGCATTAATCTTGAAACGTTTCTCCTCCTTTTCAAATTCCACAATTCTCGCCACATATTCTCTCCTCTTTTCTTTTTTTCTTTTTTTTCGAACCCGACTTTGATGGAATTCGATCGAAGAGAAACGTTCGCATCATTTTCATTCGTTCGTCTCGAGAAACTTTTTCCGCTCGCGGATGCTCGTTACGTGGTTTCATACGGGGCCGAATATAAAAGGGTTAAAGATCAACGATCGCGTCGATCGATCAGCAGGAAGTGCACGACTCTATTACTTCCGAGGCGAAATCCTGTTTACAACAGACTCATGATAACAGTTGGATGGTTAGGCGCCTTCCCAGTGGAACGGCCGCGAGGATAATTAAGGTACCACGAGCAAGACGAGCAAGCTTAACGGTGATTTCCAGCGCATCTAGCTAGGCCCGGCAATTAAGATAATCGCGCGCTCCGACCACGTCTCTCTCTCTCTTCTCTGCTCTCTTCTTTCCCTCCTTCTCCCTCTGGATATCGATACTTAGAATTCTTCCGGAACTTTTATTCATTCCGTACAATTCCATCTCCATCACGATTCGTTCTCTCGTCACAGTTGTTGGAAATTTGAATAAATTGGAGATTAAAATACCAAACGGGATCTCCCATCGTGAAAGGGATCCTCCTCTCCTTCGACCTCTTCAGTTTCCATTAACTTGCCGGCGCGCTTACTTGAGACACGCGGAAAGTGTTTGTTCAGAATGTTGGCCACGGGATGAAGAAGTTGTACACGCTTCTATTTTTCCCGCGGCCGCGTCTTTCCCATTTCTTTTCTGCCTCCCTTCCTTTCTTCCTTCTTACTCCTCCACCATTTTGTTCCTGCCAGCCCCCCCTGGGCTGGCTTCGAGACCAGCATAGCCAGTCGCTGTGTCATCGAGCCCCGATACATCATAAATATAAATTGATTTCTGGATACGTGTTGGTACAAATGGGACTGCGTACGCGGCGCACACGCTTGCCGCGAAAGTCGTTGGCATACGCGCCCGGCCTATGGCTACGTTCTGGAATTTTAATGCGCCACGAGGAGGGAACACGCGCGCGGAAAATGACGAATGAATCGCAGGACGAAATTTCACGACGATGCTCGATCTTGCTTTCCAACCACCGCTTCCTTCCGTTTGTCTTTCGTGTCTTCCGCCGGCCGAATACGAATTCGAAGTTTCTTCGCGTCGCCCCCCGATTCGTGAATCGGTTGATAGATCGGATAATTCCCACCCCTTTTCCATTCTATTATTTACACGCGCGGAGGAAGAAAGGTTATATCTACGACGTTCGTATATTCCTCGATGAAAATTGATAACGAGGAAACTCTTAGATCGAGTTGGAACGATTTTTCTCTCTCTCTCTCTCTCTCGAGCGCATCTCGAAGCTCGAGTGACCGCGTCGAATTTAATTGCAATAGTCGCAGCGATAATGGCAACGGTGGAAGTTGCAAGTGGGCATTTCCTGAAGATCGCGATAAACCCGTCCGCGCAAAGTGCTACGAACCCGTGCAGCAGCTTGATAAATCTAAACGAATCGCGCGATAAACACCACCGATTCCCACTCCAAATCTCGAAAAA